ATTGCAGTGTAATGGCAATAAAGTGGAACTGCCCTGACAGAACCCCTGCTGCCTCTGAGTGTCTCTTTCATGCAGCTGGGTTGGCGGGCAGCAGGCTCACTTTTCCCCAAGATCCCTCGGTCCCAACACCGGGGGTAATCCTGTCGGCTCCTTCTCCTTCTGGGTCTGCGGGAGGACCCCAGGCACGCCCCCACATTAAATGATTCTGACAGGTTGAGTAAAATGAGGAATGAGAATCGATCCCTGGTATTGGCAATAATGAAGACTTCCGTGACTCTTACAAGAATAGTCTCTGTGGACTAATGGAGATGAAAATCAGACAGTCTGATTGGAGTTGTTTCAATAGAGTTGTTGGTAAATAAAGACAACTCTTTACTTTTCTATCAAGAAGCAGAAAAATGAAGCAATGGCTGGAGGAGGAAAAGAGGTCAACAGAGGGTTTGTTTTTTAAGATGGAGATAACACAGCAACATCTTTTCTAATAGGAATCATTCAGTAGAGAGGGGATAATTGCAAGAACAACACCCTTGTAAAGGGTTAGGGTTTGGTTTGCAGGTGGAGACAATAGAGGTAGAAACAGTTCATCCATAGCAACCGGAGAGAAAAGAAAGTATATGAGCAGAGATGCAATTGATGCCAGAGGAAAGGTCTGGGGGCCTGACAGCAGGCCTCAACCCACCCCATCCTCTTACCAGGTTCTTGACTCCACAAGAAAGAATTGAAGGGCAGAGGCACATTAGAAAGTGAGAACAGGTTTAATATAACAGATAAATACAGGTTCCACAGAAAGAGTATGCCTTGCTCCAGAGACAGGCATACAGACAGCTCCAATTTTAACACAAAAGCAAGAAATACATAAAGTTCAGTAAATTATGAAGGCTGGCTCAAGAGTTGAAACAGAGTAAGGCTAGGCCTGTGAACCAAACCAACTCCATTTTCCCTGCAGAGGATACTTTGTTACTTTTCTCCACTCCTCAGTCATGAGACCCCCCAGGGCAAATGATTACCCTATGGGCTGCCCTGACAAAATAGACTGAGATAAGAGAGGAAACAGATATTTACTGAGTTGCAAACCCCCTTCCCAAGGCTTGTTTTACCATAATAATAAAAGTTACGGATTAACCTTAAGACCCCTTTAGGAATTCCCACCTGCGTACAAAGCATCAAGGTGACTGCTACAGTGATCCTCCTGGGGTGACAATGATGAAGAGCACTGCCATTTTGGACCTACTGAGCATGCAGCCATGACGCAACCAGAAAAAACAGAATGGACCACCTCCAGTGACACTGGCCTGCCACCCCTTTACTCTGTTCCCTATAAAAGACCCTGAACAGCTCCCCTCAGGGGGGCTGGCTTTACTGTTGCTCCCCCCCTTATGCATAAGTCTATCTCCTCTTTTAATAAAGCATTGCTTGCTTCACTGTTGAGTATACTGTTCATTTCTATGACTTTTGAATCTGAGAGCCTAATTTAATCACTGGCAAAAATTGGAAAGCTTTGGGCAGCAGAGAAGACTCTAGCTGCAAGAGGCAGGTGGCCACTGGGACTATTTTGCTCTCATGTCTCTGCTGCTGGTATATCTCTCCTGGAGTCCCTGGCCTAAATTCTGACAAGGCAATGCTTTATTCTCTTTACCTTTCTCTGATTTTCTGAGCCCTCTTCTGCTGTTTGGTTGGATTGTATCCACTACTATGTAGGTGCACCTTGGAGGGCTCCTGGCTATGCTCTGTTTTGTAAAAGAAAATATAACTTTATCATACGCAATTTGCTTTTGTAAAAATGCTTGCTAAAAACGGGAAAACATAACTAATGACATTTTAAGTAAAGCAGCTTCTAAGGGGCTATTGAGAGGTCAGGCGGCACCAGGCACACTAAATTCCAGGAAGAGAATGACCACCTCCCGGTTCCAGGAACTGACCAGTTCCTTATCTAGAGGCCACCTGGCCAGACCCCAGGGAAGATAAATGATTGAGAAATGTGCTGTTCCTTATCGGGGTACCAGCTTGCTAAAGCCTACCCATAAATCTAAAGGCGCCTCAGATATCCAACAACTCATCCTGTCACAAAAGTCTGTCTAAAAAACTGTATAAAAAGTGCTTGTGTTAAGAGCTCGAGGCCACTTCTGTCCTGAAGACGAAGCGACCCCAGCATGCTGGAATAAACTCCTTTTGCTTGATTGCAATGGTCTCTATCTCGTGGTCTTTGTGAAGTGAGCCATTCCGATGTGTGGGATTTGTGCGCGGTGCACAGATCTTACATTTTTGGTGCGTTGGCCGGAAAACGGCTCTCTCTCTGGGACCAGAGACTAGAGAACGGGGGATTGCTCAAGCAGGTACCACCGCGGTTGTCTCTGTCTGTCTGCTGTGTCTGTCTTTGAGTCTTCTGCTGCAAGAGGCAAGTGGCTACTGGGACTATTTTGCTCCCATGTCTCTGCTGCTGGTATATCTCTCCTGGAGTCCCTGGCCTAAATTCTGACAAGGCAATGCTTTATTCTCTTTACCTTTCTCTGATTTTCTGAGCCCTCTTCTGCTGTTTGGTTGGATTGTATCCACTACTATGTAGGTGCACCCTGGAGGGCTCCTGGCTATGCTTTATTTCTGATTTTCTGAGCCCTCTTCTGTTCTGTATAGGTACACCCTGAAGGGTGCCTGGCTATGCTTTGTTTTTCTGATTTAAATCTAGTCAATGCTTTTCTTCTTTATGCTGAAAACAGTGGGAGAACTGCTTTTATCAATTACTGTTAATGAAATAGGTTGGCCCCACCGATTGGGACTAGGCTAAACTGGACCCCACTGCTCCTCTTTCCTCTTTGTTTGTTTGCTTGGTTAGACATTTAGTTGAGTACCGGTAATGTGAATAAACCTTCCAATCCTTGCATCAACCTTTGGACTTTCAGGTCATTTGTTTAATGCGAGAGGGCAAGCTAAGCCTGGCCTGTCGGTAACAGAGTGAGCAGCCACCTGATAAAAGTTAAGTTTCTCACAAAAGTAAAACATACACACCTCAGCCTGCAAAGTGCAGTTTGGCCCAGGATAGTGAGCAGCAACAATTCCCCCTTCTGCCAGGATTTGGCTTTTATTGTTTCTCTATCTAATGAATATCCAATTAAGGAGGTAGTTCCCAGTTATGTAACATAGTCTTGTACATGCTCAATTGGTCTCCTTTTGGGGCATGTTCATTGGTCAATCCTACCACGTGCAATGAACAAATTCAAGAATATTCTGTGTTCTTTAGCACCTCTAATGGAAGGTCACTCAAGGGATAAGCTCCCCTCCATCAAGCACGCCCAATCACTGAATTTGTATAAGCCAGCCCCTTGAGGTTTCAATTTCCCTGTTGGTGCTGGAAATAGACCTATCTAGCAACAGTAACTTTCCTCTAGGGGAGGGCATACAGGAGGGACCCGAAACCTTGGGAAATGGATGACCTGAAACCCAGAGTTATGCCCTGTAACCTAAGTCCAGGGAAACTGAGCACCTCCTATCTCATTCTCCCCTCAGAGATTCCATTCCCTTTATCTTAAGGGAAAATGAAGGGTGAGGGTCTGACTACACAAGTAGACTGGTAGATACAAGAACCAAATAGAAAAATGGGCAAGAGATATGAACTGGTAATTCACAGAAGAGAAAATACAATTGGCCAATAAAGCATGAAAGAAGATGTTCAACCTCACTTATATAGAATACACAAATAAAAATGAGATACTATTTTTACCTATCAGACTGGCAAAAATTAAAAAGATTGATAATATAGACATATATATATAGTGTTGACAAGGGAGTAAAGAAACAGGTATTCTCATCTACTGTTGATGAACACAACTTGATATTATCTATTAAAACTAAAATTGAGCTTAACCACCAACCCAGAAATTTCCCTTCTCAACATACACCGTACTGAAATACTCATAAACATGCATAAGGAGACATATATAAGAATATTCACTGGAACACTGCCTGTAGTAGCAAGAATTTAGAAACAACTTAAATATCTATCAATAAAAGAAAAGTTAAATATATTACACCATATACAATGTATGAAATACTATAAGAAAAATTTTTGAAATGAGGTCTATCTCTATATAATGATTAGTAAAGATCTGCTACACATACTATGAAGTAAAAAAAGGCATATTTTGGAACTCTACAGTAAGATACCAATGATATTTTTTAAAACCCATGTAAAATAAGTATTATGTATATATGTGTGTGTGTGTGTGTGTATATATATACATATATATATATATATCACGTACACACACAAATTCAAGAATAGAAAAAGACCTAGAAGGACACATACCAAATTGTTTGTTTTTTGGTTTTTTGGGTTTTTTTAAAGGATGACCAGTAAGGGGATCTTAAGCCTTGACCTGGTGTTGTCAGCACCATGCTCTCCCAAGTGAGCTAACTGGCCATCCCTATATAGGGATCCGAAACTGTGGCCTTGGTGTTATCAGCACCTCACTCTCCCAAGTGAGTCATGGGCCAGCCCTCCAAATTGTTAATAGTGACTTTCCCTGGAGTTTTCATTAAGAAGTATTTGGGAGGGAGTTAGTCTGTAGTGAAAAGAGACTAACTTCCTGCATTGAATTTTTTGACAATGGCAATGTAGCCATTTATTACTTGTATAATTAAAAATCAGGATTTTAAGTAAGAAGAAAAAAAGTTAAAAACAATACATATCTCAAAAAGTTAGACACAGGGGGCCGGCCCGTGGCTCACTCGGTAGAGTGCGGTGCTGATAACACCAAGGCCCCGGGTTCGGATCCCATACAGGGATGGCCGGTTCGCTCACTGGCTTAGCGTGGTGCTGACAACACCAAGTCAAGGGTTAAGATCCCCTTACCGGTCATCTTTTTAAAAAAAAAAAAAAAGTTAGACACAGAGTTAATATACAACCTAACAATTCTACTCCTAGGCATATACCCAAGAGTAATGAAAACATATGTAGAATGGAGCCAACTAGACTAATAAGGAAAATAAGGCATTTTTATTATTACCTCCAATAGCGTAGACCATCCCTCCCAGAACTGCCACTCCCAGCCCACATCGAGCCTGATGAAGTGAAGACACAGTGGTCCAGTACTGGCTAAAGGTATCAAAACGTTCTACACAGCTGAGGACTCTGCTATCATTCCAACGACCTCCCTGTAACCGAGTATATCCACCTAAACAAAGGAAAGAAAGGAATTACACAGCAAATCTCTTACTGCTAAACATGGAAATAGTAGTAATGAGGAAAATCTAGCCCTCAACATCTTAACATTTAGTATAACCATTATATACAAAGAAATAAATGCTTTAGTGCCTGCCATATACATATATAAATAATATATAAAATATATTAATAATAAATAATGTATAAAATTTATATATATATATATATATATTAAAATACACAAAATAATATATAAAATATATTATTTTTAAATGTGCCAAGTCCTGAATGATTATGGCTTAAATACAATGAGAAAGTTAACCTCAGTGTTTTACCACTGGTCTTTGTTATAACAGAATGTTAGATAAAATATAAATCTAGGCACTACTATCTGTCTCGTTAGGAAGCTTCATTACAACTTCTACTAGTGTCTTTTTGAATTAAAAATAGTGAGTTGAAATTCTTATTTTGACTTCACATTCTATCAGTAAAAAAAATTTTAGCATGTACCCAAAAGCTACATATTTATATATTATATATTTTAAATATACATATTATTACATATGAATTATATTACACATAAAGTATTTACATAAAAAGTACATTATGCAAATAGATCTAGATAATCATTCACTCTCTATATTAAATATTTATAAGGTTTAATGCTTTTTAAAATAAAAATGAAGAGAGGTTTTAATATGTTCCTCTGCTATTCCAATGGATAATCCTACACAACCACACTTTGGAGATCGCTGGTTCCTATCATATTGAATGGCCATCTAAGACACACACTGTGAATAGTTCAAAATTTTAAGACTCATTTTCCTTATTTTTCACTAGAATTCAAATTTTTAACTTTTTTTGTTTTAAAAGATGACTGGCAAGGGGATCTTAACCCTTGACTTGGTGTTGTCAGCACCATGCTCTCCCAAATGAGCTAACTGGCCATCCCTATATAGGGATCCAAATCCGTGGCATTGGTGTTATCAGCACCACACTCTCCCAAGTGAGCCACAGGCCGGCCCCAAATTTTTAACTTTTAAAACAGCATTTCTTTAGTCAGCTTTTTGGTGATAACTAGGTAATCTAAGAATCCAAAGATGTAGATCACAGAATAACAGATGTCAAATGAGTAGCTATTTATTTTAGATGTGTTCACTGTATTTTATAAATGCATTTTATAAATCTATAGCTGTATGCAAAATTATACATACTTTTTGACATAGTCTTTGACATACCTACATATTCTGGCACGTTAAGTAATAACAAAATATTAAAAGGCTTTGATCCTGAAAATAAAGATAATTTCTATTACTTTTTAAAAGGCTCTCACCTACTGCATACAGGTATTTTCTTGCTTTCTTCCGAGGCCGAACCTTAGATGTCTGCAGAAAACTACAAAATTTGTTCTCTTTGGGAGATTTACACACCTCACAGTACTCTTTCAAAAGTGTTTGCAATGCAACACGAAGATTAAAATCAGATACTCCTAAAGCAATATTTAAAAAGACAATGTTTTAGACAGCTTCTTAAATAAAATTGAGAACATGTTTCTATAAAGATACTACACGTTTATCAAGAAATATAAACTTATCATCAAAGAATGGTGTTTGTTTCCTACAATACCAAGTATTATTCTTCTCGTTGCTACTGAAAAATATACTTTCCTTAAATCTATCAAAGATTGTTTTTAAAAATATGCCTCACAATATACAATTAGAAAACACATGTAAGAGTATTTCCAAATAAAGATGGCAAAGTGAAAAAAGATAGTCAAAAATTCTATACTTACAAACTAATAACAAAAGGAATATAAAATTATGTCATAAACTCTTAAAAATATTAAATAAAGCAAGGAACAAAAAATTCTGGTAGAATGAGGACCATCTTTTAAAAGGACCTCAAGTATGATTGGTTAGCTTGTCCCTGATCAAGAGGGCTTTGCTGAGGAGGTGAAATGGGGATGAAAATTAACCTGTTTCCCATTTGCTAAGGTATAAGACCCAGCCCTCCTGAAAGGGCACTATTTTCTAACTTGCACAAAGACACTATAGATGCTAGTAAGGGACTGTCTCTTAACCTTGTCCCTACAACCCTACATCCCAGAAGCAATATTAAGAAGATCAACTAACTAAAGCTTGAGAAATCTCACCAATAACTAATAATTTGAAGAGAGACAGAATGAGCAGTGAAAAGTAGAAATGAGAAAAGTCAAAGAAAGAAACTTTAAAAGTCTTTACAGGACCATCAGTAAAGGTAGAGAGAATCATCAGTGTTTGCTATCTAACAGAACATAGTAATAACCAAAGTCCACGTTAGTGGGATACATCTCTGGCTAGATTAAGTAGGTCCTGATACAAGATCAATAACAGGATCTCAAAAGAGAGAGATCAGAGGCCAAGTTCCCAAGCAAGGACCTCAGCCCTATTAGGTCTCTATTCTTCCACCACACTCATGCCTTAGGCTAGAAAGGAAATATTGAGAACCCTACATATAGCCCTCAAATTTTAGGCTGGAGAAAACAAAGTAGTTACACACTAAGATAGAAAGGGTGTCAAGGAGAATTAGCTATTAACATTATCAGAGCAGAGCTGAAACAGAGCTGTCCATGTTAAGCATGAGCAAGATATCAAGAAATAGCATTACATCTATTAAGCAAATCCCAGGAAAAAGAAGAGAGAAAGATTGAAAAATTCAGTCTGGAAGAAAACATTAGCCACAAACAGAAATAGACTCCCCGTGAGTGCTTCACAAAGCAGAATTTCTTAAAAATACAAATCCAGGGCTGACAGGTTAGCTCAGTTGGTTAGAGCACAGCCTTGTAACACTGAGGTCAAGGGTTTGGATCCCCATATCGGCCAGCCACCAAAAAAAAAAAAAAAAAAAAACATATAAGTCCTGTAAAACAAGGGCTCAAAGACAAAATAAGAAGCACTGCTGAGGAAACAAAGTGAGAATTGAAATGATAGTATTGCAAAGTTAATAAATTAGAAATAGTAAACAGATATGATTGAAAATCAAATTAGCAATTTAGAGGAAAGGCTTGAGAAAACAATTGCGAATAGAGAGAAAAAATATTATTCCATTAGAAGATAATAAATATGGGGCCGGCCTGTGGCTCACTCGGGAGAGTGTGGTACTGATAACACCAAGGCCACGGGTTCGGATCCCACATAGGGATGGCTGGTTCTCTCACTGGCTGAGTGTGGTGCTGACAACACCAAGACAAGGGTTAAGATCCCCTTACTGGTCATCTTTAAAAAAAAAAAAAAGAAGATAATAAATATGAAAGAAAAGTTCCAATAAAAGGATGAAGACTACCAAATGAAACATTAAAAATATTCAGAAATTTCTTACAGGTAAATTTCCTCCAAATGAAGGAAAAATGGCATTTTCAAAAGGAAAGGTATATGATATAATCTAATGGAAAATGACAAACTTCAAGAGAATTCTTTAGTATACAACCAGAAAAAAGGAAGTCATTAAAAAAACTCTCCAAAACAAAAAACACCACTACCCAAAGAGTGCCACACAGAAATAACCAGGTTTAATTAATATTTAGTAAACATTATTCTCGATATCTTTACATAGGTAGGAGGATAGATGATGGATAGATGGATGAAGTCTCACTAAAAGTTAACAAAAGAAGAAACAAACTGAAGCAATAAGTCATTTTAGATAAATGTTTCTTCACCCTAAGAAATAGTCGCTCTCAAACACTCATAGAATCAAGGACAAAAAGATGAAAATCATTAAAAGATGAAATTACAGTTTCATTTTGTGTTTCAATTATAAATAGTATTGACTCTCTTGTTAAGAAAAATGAGATAATTGGCATTTTTATTGAGGTGATTGAACTATGTTTTTAAGTCGTATGTGCTTCTGTGTTGCTTTGCCTCCCACAGATTTGTCAGCCCTTTTCCCCTTGGTGATGGAGCTGCAAAAGATTACTCAAAGCCCATCTCTTCTGAGCAGTGAGAAGCCCCAAAAGGGGTTAATCTCCTGGAACCCCCAACATAGAGGCATTCCTTCCATTTGGGAAATTAACTATGAATTGGGGTTCTCTTCCTGCATTTATTCTCCAGACCGGGAAGTTTCAAGAAGAGAACATAGGTGAGGTTTTTGCTAAGTATAGTTTAACAAGTTTTTCAATAGAAGCTGGTAACATTCAGTAAGACAAGCAAGGTGATGACATTCCGTAATGCAATTTGCAAGAAGTTAAGTCGATCCACCAACAAAAACTTGATCTTAGCAAACATTCTCTTCCTACAGAAATTTCCCAGTATCTTTACATATCAATCAGTAACCTGTCTGTCTTTGAGCCAGCAACCTTGCTGTGTTACAATTCTTTATCTTACAACAGAGACTATAGCCTAGGGAAAATTTCCTGTCTTTTGCAAGGTTAATATTTGAAATTGCAAGGCTCTGAAAAACCAGACCCTGTGAAATACATTTGCTTTATGTATGCTCCCCACTTCTGTATTACCTAAACTTTTTATAATGAACATGTACCATTTAAAAAAAGGAGAGCTGTCAAGGGTTTGAATCTCCATACTGGCCAGCAGACAAAAAAAAAGTTTTAATAAATAAATTAAGTTCAATAAAAAAAGGAAAGTCATTCTCTAAAATGCAATTAATAGATATTTTATCACATATCTAATAATAATAAGTTGCCTGAATTATTCCAGCGGTAAATAAAGAAAAATACACTAGAGGAAAAATCTACACATTTCACATAACACAATTTAATCACTTCAATTAAGTATTTTCCTCCCTCTCTGAATTTTGTGGTAGAATCTCATTTTTTCTGTATAAATTGCCCATATTTTCTCCAATATGACCAAGGAAGAACAGCTTCAAAGTTTAAAAGTATTAAGGTTGCCTTTTTAAAAATTGTCAATTTACTTCTCCCTTGACTCCTTGAAGTTTTTTCCCTAGTGAAAGACTTAGATGATAACCATTGGGCATGCTTAAAAACCAGTGCAAGACTGGAATATTATAATACTAAAAAACTGTAAGAAAATATGCCCCAGGGCCGACCTGTGGCTCATTCGGCAGAGTGCGGTGCTGGTAACACCAAGGCCACGGGTTCAGATCCTGTATAGGGATGGCTGGTTGGCTCACTGGCTGAGCATGGTGCTGACAACACCAAGCCAAGGGTTGAGATCCCCTTACCGGTCATCTTTTTAAAAAAAAAAAAAGAAAGAAAATATGCCCCAATTTTAGGGAATCTTGCCTTGCTCCTAGCAGAGGAACTTTCCTTTAGCACTCTGTATCTGCAGCACTTGGAAAAACCCACTCAACCATGAAAGTCTTTATCCCATTCTTAAATTCTTACATGATTCATGCAAAAGTGTACCTGGATAATTCCTTTCCTTTGTTTTAGCATTTAAATACAGTGGATCCTCATTATTTGTGAATTCCTCATATGCAAATATACTTACCTGCTAAAAGGTATTTACAACACCAAAATTAATACTTGAGGTGCTTTTGCAGTCATTCAAGGAAACGCTCAGAGTAGCAAAAAATCTGAATTACACTTCATGCACTTTCTGGCTGAGGTCAAACTCACTCTGCCTTCTTTTTTTTTTGGCAGCTGAATGGTATGGGGATCCCCTTGACCTTGGTGTTACCAGCACCATGCTCTCCCAAGTGAGCTAACCAGCCAGCCCGACTCTGCCTTCTTATTTCAGCCCTTATACTATAAACAAGTCACGTTTTTCAGCCTATTTAATGTCATGGTTTTTACACTTTTGTGCTTTTTTTCAGTGATTTTGCTGTTTAAAAATGGTCCCCAATCATAGTGCTCAAGTGTTATCTAGCATTCCTAAGTGCAAGAAGGCTGTAAAGTACCTTAAAGAAAAAATGTGTTAGATAAATTTTATTCAGGGATGAGTTATAATGTTGTTGGCCATGAGTTCAACATTAATGAATCAACAATACATATTAAATAAGGTGTTTTTAGAAACACAAATAAAACAAGACTATGTACTGACTAGATGACAAAAATGTTGTGACAAGAGGCCTGCAGGAAGCTAACCCTGTATCTCCCCTAGGAGCAAGGCCTCAGTATTTGCTAAGTCAGTGTTCACAGCAACTTTACAGAACATAACCACTGCAAATAACAATCAACTGAATGTGTATTAATACAAGATGTCTTTCAGAAAAACCTACAAAATTCTATTAGCACTGTTAAGAGTGGGGGAAAAAACTAATAATTCACAATTAAAAATAATTTAATTACGGAATTATACCTTTAATGCTTACTAATGTATTTAATTTGTAATAAGACATTTGTAAGTCATTTACAACCCTAAGTTTCAGTGCATGACAAAAGTAAAAGAATAAAAGAGTTCAAATCTTGAAACCTGGTCTAAAGTAGTTTTTAAAAATACATTTGAGGGCCGGCCCGGTGGCTCACTCGGGAGAGTGCGGTGCTGATAACACCAAGGCCCCGGGTTCGGATCCCATATAGGGATGGCCGGTTGGCTCACTGGCTGAGCGTGGTGCTGACAACACCAAGTCAAGGGTTAAGATCCCCTTACCGGTCATCTTTTAAAAAAAAAAACAAACAAAAAACATTTGAATATTATGACTTTTCTCATATAAAGATAAAAACTATTTTGTACTATGGTGAAAATATTTTCATAAAGAAGTTTAGAATCTAAAGATGATTCAAAGGCTACCGAGAAGCTATGATATTATATTAAGATAAAGTTCATTTTATTTTATTTTATTTATTTATTTTTTTTTTAAAAGATGACCGGTAAGGGGATCTTAACCCTTGACTTGGTGTTGTCAGCACCACGCTCACCCAGTGAGCAACCGGCCATCCCTATATGGGATCTGAACCCGTGGCCTTGGTGTTATCAGCACCGCACTCTCCCAAGTGAGCCACAGGCCGGCCCCATAAAGTTCATTTTATAATGAGAGGACTTATAGGATTTATTGAGTTTGTCTTTTGCATATGCATTTTCCTCAAATGTTAGGTTTTGCTGAATTTTTTAGAGCAGCAAGAGGAAATCTTACACTGAAATAATTAGTACTGACAACAACAGCAGTGGTTGTTAGTTCTGTCAGTAATTTTTTCTATAATACTAATCTCCCTTACTAATTAATCTCAAGAAAGGTACGTAAAGATTTGATTAATATAATCAGGAGAAATATTAAAATACTACTGTCCACCTACAAAACACAAAAGGTTTACCTTATATATATTAATCACTTAATGTCTGTTACTGAATCAAAAAATGAAAACTACCACATTTCAACCAGAGAAAAAGCCACTGGATAGTTAATCAACTAATTTGATATACAGCAAAAAAGTTACCTTCTATATACTTTAAAAGCCTCTGAGGAGGTAATAAAGGGAATCGAATCGGGTCTAAAACTTCCACCATATATTTTCTTCTCTTTCCCAGATCCTTCAGAATCCACTGCATTGTGGCTAAGAAGACTTGGTATTCATCCTCAATGTTAAGCTCTTCACTTCGCAAAATTTTGATCAGCTGATCTTTTGTAAGTGCCAAGAACTCTTCCCCACTATGAACCTCCAAGAAATGAACATGAATGTAGTTCTCTGTGAATTCCAAAAGATCATGGCAGGCAATTTGCTCAGATAACTGAAAGATCCCAATGCAGTTCAGTGGATCAATTTGTCCTTTCAGAAATTCACAGCAAAGAATAACAACTTCAGTCAACTGTAGCATGTCTGCTGCAACAATCAACTCCTGGACATTATTGACACTTATATTCACTACACCTAGGGAAGTATGGAGACAAAATAGCCAATAAAATAAAAACAAACATTAGACTTAATGTATTCAAAAAGTATTATACTTGTTTTTTCTGCTAGCTTAATGTTTGCAGAGTAGGTAGATGCTAAGTAAAAAGGCAACAAAGGGTTTGTGGAAAGAGCATAAAACTTAAATAATAACGATACCTAATACTTATGGGGCACTTACAATAAACCAGACACTGCATTAATTGCTTTACACATTCATTTAATCCTTAATACAATCATAAATGGTAAGGTTTTTTATTTTCTTGTTTTTGTATTAAGGAAACACAATCAAAAAGTTTTAAGTAACTTGTCCCCAAGTCACATGGTTAAAGAAGTTGCAAGGTAGGAACTGACATCAAAGTCCATGATTTTTTTTTTTTCCTTTTTGTCTTTTTTACTGACCGGCAACGGGATCGCAACCCTCAGTGTTGCGCCCGCACCGCGCTCAGCCAGTGAGCGGGAACTGGTCTCCACATGGGATCCGAACCCTCGGCGGGAGTGCCGCCGCGCTCCCAAGCGGCGCACTCTCCAGTGCGCCACCGGGCTGGCCCGACCAAAGTCCATTATTTTAGTGTAAGATTATATCCATGTAACAAATATTTACTGAGGCACTAGGGAGAGTAATGATAGGGTGTCTATCTTTAATTAAGATAAAGTACCATACAATGTTATTTTATTTTATTTTTTTTTAAAGATGACCGGTAAGGGGATCTTAACCCTTGACTTGGTGTTATCAGCACCACGCCCAGCCAGTGAGCGAACTGGCCATCCCTATATGGGATCCGAACCCGGGGCCTTGGTGTTATCAGCACCACGCCCAGCCAGTGAGCGAACTGGCCATCCCTATATGGGATCCGAACCCGGGGCCTTGGTGTTATCAGCAATGCACTCTCCCGAGTGAGCCACCGGGCCGGCCCAGTTAGTTTTTTAATAGTAAGTATAATCAAGAGTCTATAACATATGAGAAGCTATTAAATATTTAAACAATATATGCCATTTTCTTTCCAGAGGGCTTCACTGTCACTTCTCACTGTGTGACAGAGGTGCCAAGATTACTCAGCCCAAATATTAACAGCAATGAGAAGCCCAAAGGGACTACACTGAGAAAACTCCCTCAAGAAGGGAGAAACAAGGCACAGCCCCAAGTCGGTATTTTCTTCAGCTTTTATTCTAAAGAAAAGGAAACACAGGAGAAAAAACAACTTAATCAATCATTTATGAAAGGAATGAAAAGAAATTGGCTATGGGGCATTCTCTGAAAAACATCTTGAGAAACAAAGGAAAGGGAGTGAACCTAGATAAGAAATGACTTTAATGTTCTTATCTAATCTAGCAGAAACTATTTGCTGCTTCCAGCACATGCTGTTTTCAGCACTTGGGTTCTGCATAAGTGCATTTAGGACTTTTGCCCTTGGTGCACTCCTTGTTCTTTGTCAAGCCTATGTGCTCCCACACTTCACTTTCATAATTTACATAATGACTTTAGAGACATCAAATAGCCAATTATATATCAAAGGGGAAAAAGACCCAATTAACTCTCCTACCTAATAAGGATAAACTCTCCATTCGATCTTATACCTTCCCTTTACATTATCCTTTTTATACATTTACTTCACTAAACTATTTGTCTAAAGTTTATGTTCCAGATTAGATTTATAAAGTCTTTTGGGGCAAGGCTTTCCCCCTCTGTATTCCCAATGCCTAACGCACACTAGATGCTCAAAAAATATTTTTAAATGAATGAATGGCCAAAGATAAGAGGAAGAATATGGCTCCTTGAATGTAAATAGGTGGTTTTCCAAAATGAAATCCAACAAGGCGTAAATGGTAGCAGCTACAGAGAAAACTGAGATAAGACTTACTTGAATTAAATGAGAATTCACTACAAATTTGGAGAAGATAAGAGCATGGGTTGTGATGTAAAGGGACTGAAAGACTGCTATTGAATAATGCCAAAAGTAACTCAAGAGTAATAAAAATAATGCCCTACAATTTAACGGGGCTTTATACTTTTACTAAAATTTATCTCATTCAACCTTCATATTAGTTACAAAGTGCTACTATCCCCACTTTATAAATAAGGAAAATGAGGCTCTCACAAGCTCATTTCTATTTTACAAGTACCTAATCTGCATTACCTATAAAGTTACATGAAGCCAAAGACCATGTCTGTATTGTTTACTGACACATCCCCCACGCCTAGCTCAAAAAAAGTATTCAATAGATATTTGTTGAAAGAATGAATGAATGAATGAATGACTAAAGTTTAATGAAATGCCTAGAATCACACAGTCAATTAGTGGCAGAGCTAGATCTCAAACCCAGGTCATTTGATTCCAAGTGAAGTGAAAAAAAATCTAAGGTGAGTGTAGTGGATTGAATTATGTCCCCCCAAAACTTACTGAAGCTTGAATTGTGACTCCCAAGTTTTATGTATTAGAAACTCAGCACCCCCCTCCCACGTGACTGTTAAGAGAGTGGGAAGTCCTATTATAGTAATCAAAAGGTAGGGCCTTGAAGAGGCGATTAGATTGTAGGAACATGCTGTAGTGAATGGATTAAAAATGGTGGTCAGGGGCATGGTTTTGAGGGCTTTAAAAGGAGAGTGCATGAGGAACTGTCTTGCTCTGCTCTCTCTGCTTCCATCATCTTGCAATGTGAGACCCCTGGGTCACTATTGCCACCACCAGATGGACTTTGGACTTCCCAGCCTCAGAAACTATAAGCAATAAATTTTGTTTCCTTTCTAAATCACCCAGTTCCAGGTATTTTGTTATAAGCAACAGAAATGGACTAATACAGAGAAATACGCTTTAAGAATTATGAGAATTGTGAATGGTTAATAAAGAATGTATTACTGGGGCTGGCCCGTGGCTCACTTGGGAGAGCGTGGTGCTGAAAACACCAAGTCCAGGGTTAAGATCCCCTTACCAGTCATCTTTTAACAAAAAAAAAGAAAAAAAAAAAAGAATATATTAATGGTAACCAGTAAATGTGAATGGTTAATAAAGAGTGGCAAATCCAAAGAAGAAATACAGTAACAGATTCTGCTGCCCCCACACGCCAAAGAAGGAAATGCTATTACAATGAAAATGAAAGAACATGTTTTTTAAGAATTGTATCAAACACTACAAATTTCCATGTCCAATAAATACCCAATATTCATTCTCCTGCCCATTGAAAATTTCATTTCTTAGCCTCCCTTGCAGATAGGGATGAACTTTTGACTGAGCGTAGCCAACAGAGAACATAGGCAGCAGTTGTTGGGTAGGGCTACCAAAAAAAAGCTTAAGAAAAGGATAGACTCAGTTGGCAAGCTGTTTTGCCTTTCTCCTTCCTCCTTCCAGTGGCTGGAGTTCAGTGATCATGAGATTAGAAGTGACAAGCTACAGATGGTGCCACAAAATGTTGGAAGAATATGGGGACACTAATGACATTATGAAGCTACCATACCAGCCTTCAGAATGCCTACTATGGATTAACTTTTGTGCATAAATAAACTCTTATCTTGTAAACCATTTTGTATCTATTTCTAGCAGCCAAATTCTGTTCTTAACTGATACCAGTTTTGCCTTAAATGTCTATCCTCTACAATGTAATTTTTCCCCAGATATGCTCAATAGCTTTTATTTCTCTGGGATTTACCACCTTTTATTCCTTTGATGGAAGTGCTAATCACCAACAATATGATGATGATGCCATGAACATTCTCTTTCACTAAATATCCTTTGTTGCTACTATCAGACAACTGAGGCAGAATAGACAACTTCAGGCATTTCTTCTGTTTTTATAGAGTTCAACACTAATTCCATGGATTAATCTATGTTCATTTGTATCTTTCAAATAAAAGAAGCAGGGAGCATGTATGAAGTAGTGTTTTCTCCTTTTTAAAAAAAATTTTTTTTTAAATTTAAGTTTATCTTTTTTTTGGACTCTCATAATTCAACTTGATATGAAATAGTTTAATCAGCTCATACAAGTCATTTTGAATAGTTGGGTCAAAAATCTCTCAATGTTAATTTGCACATAAGCCAATAGACAGAGCTACACTGCTTTTAGTAGATAATCATTGTTTTCTTAAATTATCCAAAAAAGAATATGAAACAACACGGAGAAAAGAAATTACCTTTTGTCATTTTCCAAGTTTAAATACCAGGCATTAAAAAAACAATACTTCATAGGGCTACATAATTATCTCCCACCAAGTAGTGATTTAAGGAGAACACAGAATATTCTCAAAACTAGACCAAATAAACGTAGTCTTTGTTTCCAAACATTTTTTTCCTGATTGTAAGAGTAATATATATTCACTGTGGAAAAAAACTTTAAGACAGAAAGCTATAAAAATAAAAATGAATGGGGCCGGCCCGGTGGCGCACTGGATAGTGCGCCGCTTGGGAAACACGGCGGCGCTCCCACCCGAGGGTTCGGATCCCACATACAGACCAGTTCCCGCTCACTGGCTGAGCGAGGCGCGGGAGCAACACCGAGGGTTGCGATCCCGTTGCCGGTCCCCGGTCCGGTATGGGGGCAACACTGAGGGTTGCGATCCATTGCCGGACACGGAAAAAGACAAAAAGACAAAAAAAATAAATAAATAAAAATGAAAATGAAAATCACACATTCTTCCATTCACATACACTGTATTTCCACTTTAGTATATTTCTTTCAAACCTTTCTTCTATCTGTATTTATGTTGCATATCACATAAGACATATGACTACAGTTTTTGTGCATTTTCTAATGTCATTAAAACTCTTCAAAAACATTTTTAAAATAAAAGGTTTTTTTTTTCCTTTTTGTCTTTTTTCGTGTCCGGCAACGGATCACAACCCTCAGTGTCGCGCCCGTACCGGACCGGGACCGGCAACGGGATCGCAACCCTCGGCGCTGCGCCTGCACCTCGCTCAGCCAGTGAGCAGGAACCGGTCTGTATGTGGGATCCGAACCCTCGGCGGGAGCGCCACCGCACTCCCAAGCGGCGCACTGTAGCAGTGCGCCACCGGGCCGGCCCTAAAATAAAAGTTTTGACTAAAATAATGCATACTGATTATAAACATTTTTGGGGAAAAAACAGAAAAGAAGGGAAGAATAAGGATTTTCTATATTCCATCACCTACAGATAAGCACTATCACCATTCTGGTCTCTTTCTCATGCACAAATACACACAAATGATTTTCCCTTTTTCTTTTTTACAAAACTGGTGTTGTATTTATATCCTAATTTTTTTCATTTACTATATTGTTAACATTCCTCCATGATAGTATATACATACATATTTTTAATCATTTGCAAGATCTAAGAACTATTCCATTATATATACATGTATCATAATTTATTTAACCATATAACCTACTGAAGGACAATTAGATTGTATCCAATTACATGACTTGCTTAACAACGGGGATATATTCTGAGAAATGCATCATTAGGCAATTTCGTTGTTGTGTGAACATTATAAACTATACTTACACAAACCTAGACAGCATAGTGTACTACCCACCAGGTTATATGGTATGTAGTAGCTCAGAGCCTATTGCTCTCACCACTGTTGTATATGGGGTCCATACTTGACTAAAACATCAGTCAGCACATGAACGAATATACTATTATAAATAACGTTAGAATAAAATCCTGGTATGTAAATATTTGCCTTTATCACTAATTCATTGCTTATGCTTTCTAGAAAAGGAGAACTGGATCAAAAGATATGAACTTTTCAAAATCTCATAATAACATGTTGCTGAATTATCTTCTATATAAGTTAGATCTACTTATGTTCCCACAGTTGTGCATGAGCGATTGCAACATTCTTCACTCAAAGCAACAGGCTCATGTAATGTACCTGTGTAAATGAAATCTAGAAGTATCCGAAAGATTTCAGCTTCAATTCCTAGAATCTGTACAATATCTTTTGAAGACTCTTTCATTCCTCCAGTGAACAAAGCTGCAAAGTAAGGACTACTGGCAGCCAAAACCAGTCGATGAACTTTAAAAGTTTCCTTCCCAACTTGTAGCTGCACATCACAGAAATGCTGTCCATTTCTCATTTTATTGATCTGGGACAAGATGAGTTGGGCATGTTTATCTGATGAAAAAGGACTATCACCAGCCTTGGAACTGCCCTCATGGGCCATGATGATGATAGATTAACAAAAAGGACTGTTGCCCATAATCTGCTCCTACCCTGAAAAACAAAATACAAAAGAACAAGCAATGTATTTTTGTATTTAACATGTCTTCTATTCACACACATAGGAAACATTCCCTATACTTACAATTTACTTAGGGACATAAAACACCATGGGAAACAAATAAGGGCTAAATTGTGTGGTACTATTTCTAATATGGTTTCAGAGAAGGGAATAAGTATGTAGTGGGGGCTAAAACAACTGGAGAATGCTTCACAGAAGACTCAGGACCTGAACTGGACACTGAAAGATAACGCATAAATTATATTAAGGTATGAGGAAAGATCATAAGTCTTTCTGGGTGGAGTAAAGTAAATAAGGCACAAAGGCAGAAAGAAGTTTCTGTACACTGCAGTAAGGAAGCACACATCACAGCCAGAATGAACTTTCAAAAAGCAATTGTGATCAGTGCAACTGTCTGATTAAAATCCTCCAATTTCTATACTTCCTTTAGCACATAAAGCCCTTCTGAACTTTCTGTTACAATTCAAGACTCTGTCCAAATAAAACTTCCTCCAGGAACCCTTCCCTGTTCCTCTCTCCTCTGAGTTTGGTGCTTACCCTAAGCTTTTCTATTTCACAGCCTATATCACACTATCTTGTCAGAAACACTAGGACCCTACTCCTAGCGTGTGTGTGCATGCATGCACATGCATGCACACACATACACACACACTCACAGAAAACTCCTTGAAAGACATTCTCTGAAGAACAGTAACTACCTTTCATAGCTACAGCACCAGTATCTAATATATATCAGGTTTTCCAATGTCTGTGAAATGAATGAGTGTAATGAGAAATAACAATAATAGCTTAGGTTGTTTTTTAACTGTTAGCTGTTCTACATATTAGGTCATTGTAATTCTCACAATAATTAAGAGATGAGAAGATAATATTATCCAAAATGAGAGAGAAGGAAACTGAAGCTCAAAGTTTCCCCAAGGATATAGTGTTAATATTACAACAGTCTCAGTGTCTGAATCCAGATCTTCTTACTTTAAATCCAGGGCTTCTTCCACCATATCACATTGTATCGGCATTATTAGGCCAAGTTAGAGAGAAAGGGCCTTGAAACCCAAGCACAGACATTTGGACCTGGGCCTTTATAGGTTCATCAAGAGTAAACATGACAATAGCCATATCTCAGAACTGTTATTTGGTTCTTCAGGAGGATGAGCTATGAAGTAACAAAGTCCTATTAAACAGTCTTACAGCTTTAGCAATGAAAATCAAAGCGATAAATCCCGGGGCCGGCCTGGTGGCGCACTGCTACAGTGTGCCGCTTGGGAGCGTGGTGGCGCTCCTGCCGAGGGTTCGGATCCCACATACAGACCGGTTCCTGCTCACTGGCTGAGCGAGGTGCGGGCGCAGCACCGAGGGTTGCAATCCCGTTGCCGGTCCAGGTCTGGTACGGGCGCGACACTGAGGGTTGCGATCCATTGCCAGACACGAAAAAAGACAAAAAGGGGAAAAAAAAAGCGATAAATCCAAGTTACCTTTTAAATAAAGAAAACATGAGGTCCTGTAACATAAAAAATATGGAGATAAAGGACAGGAGAAATCTAAGATGACTAAGATTCTGTAATTCTAGCATCAAGGAGAATTGATGGTAAAACTGACCAAGACGGTGTGGGTTGACGTTAGAAAAAAATGGTTAAGTTTATAGTATTCGGTCAAAAGTAGCAAAGTCAAAATAACCAAGCTGATTATCATGACTATCTAGGAATTAACTTATTGAGAACTTTTATTTAGAGATTTTAAGGTAGTTGCTAAAACCTCACATCAGCATCTACAGAATATCAACATATTACATTTAACTGCCATATAAAAGCAAAGTTCATTTGTCTCTAGATAGAAGTTTGACCTGCAGATATTAAACATGTTAGATTTCTCCCTGTCAGCAGGTTTTGGACCCCAGTGGTTTAATTACAAGGTACCTCCTCTAGCCCCTACTTCAAGGCATCAAGCACAGCCACTGAATTAAAATTCTGCCTCCTGCTAGAAGAGAGAGTTCACTGAATATCCACTCGGGTGGCAGTCAAGAGAAATCAACCACGCTTCTGAGCGGAATACGTACATCATTCCAAAAGGCGGCTTGTGGGGTGACCGTATTTCCAAAGGGAAAAAGCACAATCCTGGGACATTGCATAGGGATGTAGGGGACACGCCTCAAGAGACCCAAACTTGAAAGGCAGATTATTAGGAAACGGTGAAGACGCCCAGAAGAACTAAAGAGGGCCTATATTTGGTGGTCGAGAGCATCCAGAAGCTGCTTCAGTAAAAGGTGTCAGAAAGAATCCTGGGACGAGCGACTGGGAAAAAACCGAGCCTCTTTGTACTTGAGTTGGGGGCTGGCCCTGAGAGCTAGCCCTAAACTGCTGCGACACTACAGGCGGACCATCATTCCAGCGCTACCTAAAGGGAAGGAAAGGGATCTCAGACAGCAGAGGGGCCGGGGGCACGGACTCCGGACTCCGCAGTGGCGACGGAGAGAAGAGAGGCTGGAGCGGACCGGACGAGACGAAGCTACGGTGAAGGCGACAACACTTCGACTGTCAAGGGAATGCCTGAGGCGGCAAAAGGAAAGGCGAGGAGAAAACCAGTTCCAGAGGCTTCTCTCACTCTCGTCCTTAAGGGTCCCAGGAGCCGAGGAGGAAGTTCCCAACCCCGTCATAGGCGCACCCGGGACGCAGGCCCTTCTTACCCGCCGCTTCTTTTTGTTGCCGGCGCCCGCTAGGGCCCTGCATGCGCAGTTGCGACCGACCCAGGCGCGGAGAAGGCGGGGGAAACCTGGCGGGGGTGACCAGGCGGGGTGACAGGCAGTGCGGTCCCCCGAGGGCTGGAGGAAAAGCCTGGCCTGAAGTGTGACAGGCGCGCCGCCGGCCCGGGCCTTGTACGCGTGCGCGTGCGCGTGCGCCTCCGCGCCGTTCCTCCGCTCGCGAGCAGCGCGGCCGCCGGCGGCTCTCGGCGCCCCCTGCTGTGGCCCGGGGCGTGTGCTTGCTACTCCGCTGGCGAACAGCCCAGCTGCAAGCCGACGCTTCTGCTTGCTGAGGCTGGCCGCGCGCCCTTTCCATTCGGCCTGCACTTTTGGTTCTTATGGTGTCCCAGGCAGGCCGCGGACCTTAGTGTTAAGGAGAGACAGAGACGAGCACCCGGCGCGGTGCTTCTCTACCATTTTCTCAGACCATTTTTTGAGGTTTTGTATGACTGAGCCCGGCACTGAATGGATGCCTACTGTAAAGGAAAGGAGAACTCAAAACGAACGGTTCATTTCACTGAACTGGTAATGTGTCACATGAGTGGCTTTTACACTCTTTTGATCCCAGCTCCCAGTGAACAAAAATATTTTACATCAAACTCTATACCACGTACTCGTACGTGTGTATAGATGTATATTTCTGAAACAAAATTTCAACGAAACTGTGTTTACATTTACTACCCACAATGCACTAAATTTCTTCTTTTCTATTTCATTACCAAAAAATGCTAAAAGGGACCTATTGTCAGGAAGTACTGTCAAAGACTTGAAAATGAGCAAGAGATTATTTGGTGCCTTTCAGTTAAAGGCTGGGAATTGTCTAACAGTTGCTGGAAGGATTTGAATCCCATAGGGGCCTCTAACTTTCTGTTGACTAAGCTATTGTACAAGAAAACTGATAGTATTTAAAATAATTCTTGTCCACCCTTTAGAAAAGATACACCAAAACATTCCATTTTATTAACCTATAAGATATTAAACAACTTTCGCCCCTCTTAGCAAATTAATTTCAACATTCCTGATTCTTAGCAAATTCATACAACATTCCTGTAACACCTTACCGGCTCCCTCATTAATCGATGAGATAAATAAAATATTTAATACTTGTTTATTTTATATTTGTATGAGTCATGATTTTACTTTTCAGAAAATTATACTTCAGCACCCCTAAAATTAATTTTAATGATTTAGTATTGGATTGCACCTGAAAATCTGAAAAGCTCTGCTTTAGAGTATATACTTAGGAGCAGAATTGCTGGATCATAGGGTATGTGCATATTCAATTTCACTAGGAAATGACTAACGCTTTTCCAAACTGTTTTTTGAGTATAGATTGCTACATTCCTACCAGCAGTCAATGAGCATTCCCTTGCTCCGTATCTTTGCCAACACTCAATATCATTAAATATTTCAATTTTATATAACCCGGTGGATGTAAAATGGTATTTCATTTTAAATTTACATTCCCTGATTATTAATGAGATTGGGCAGTAAGAAGGTGTTTATAGGCTGCCATGGGATGAATTGTGTCCTGCCCCCAATTCACGTGTTGAAGTGCTAACCCCCAATATGATGGTATTTGGAGATGGTGCCCTTGGAAGGTAAATCAGGTTAGCTGCAGTAATGAGTGTGGGGCCCTTATGATGGGATTAGTGCCCTTATAAGAAAACAGGCCAGAAATCACCCTCTCTCTCTCTCACACACACACACAAATAGGAGGTCATGTGAGCATATAGTGAGATGGCAGCTGCCTTCAAGCCAAGAAAAGAGGCCTCAGAATGAAACCTACCTTGCTGGCACCTTAGTCCTAGAGTTCCCAGCCTCCAGAACTATGAGAAATAAATTTCTGTTGTTTAAGCCACCCAGTCTGTGAAATTTTGTTATGGCTGCCTGAGCAGACTAAGACATAGGCCAGTTAATTTTCTTTTTCTATAAAATGACTATTCATGTCTTTGCCCATTTTTTAAACTTGCTTCTTATTGATTTGTGGGAGGATTTTCAATTGTATTTGTTGTCACTATTGCCTTTCAATTTGTGGTTTGTCTAAATCTTTTATTGTCTTTTGATGAACAAAAGTTTATAATTTTACCCATTTATCAGACTACTTATATTTTGCACCTTTGGTGTGGGCTTAAGAAATTCTTCCTTCTCTAATGTCATTTTCTTCTGAAAGTGTTAAATGTGAGAAATGCCCTAACCTATCCAATGCCAAAGGATGGACACAGAGGCACAATGTAC